ACCCAAGCATAAAGAAAGGCAACCTAATTTTCCAAAGCATCTATTAGTAACCAATCAGAAKTACCCATTTTACAACAACAAAGGCGGGGCGGATGACTTTGCTAAGATGGTTACCTCCTTAGAAATCCCCGTGGGTCCTACGACTTTCAAGACAAAGGTCAGAGACATCTTTAGAGAAACTGCCATGAAACATACCTCAGGGAAAGAATCCAGAGAATGGTTATTAGGTCCCAACATGCGGTATTGGCCGCAGCAGTTAAACTTTGCTGTCTGGGCTGCTACTAAAGGATGTGGCATAGCYGCGGACATGTTCCATATTCCTYTCCTAAGGTTTCATGTTGCTTTTACTATTCGTAGGATATTGTTTGAGTTAGGAGTGCCGCTTCCTGGTGACACTGTCTTTAACCCAAAGGATAACAAATACGACAAAGTCGCATGGGAGAGACTAAAGAATGAGTTTAAGCTTACCAACCCTGATTTTCGCAACAAAGRGGGTGCCGCCCATGGTTTAGGAGAGACTTACACCTATGCTTCGTATGTTGGTGCCAGCATAGAAACGCCGGGCATGGGATATCCTAGCTCTTACGAATTTTCAGACTTAGGAGGCAGCGGAACAAAAGGAAACCTAATTTACTTCATTCAGAGCAAAGAGAAGTATCCTTGGGCGCCTTTCTTTGCCGCAAAGGGTATTGGACTGAAAAATCTAGCAAGGATTAATMGAAGCATCGAAGCCTTTGTTTACTGCATTCTAGGAGCACAGGTTAGCACTCGAAGCCCCATTGTAGATGCCAGCGGTGCGTCGCAGGAAACACAACAAGTATTCCTTGTCCTCTTCGAAAGCGCTGTTATCGAGAATGAGATCTCTAAATCAGTTCAAAGGTATCAATTAGCGGTGCAGCAATCTAAAGTGCGGCTAGATTATGCCTTGAGTCCTGGTTGCTGGTTAATGCCAAGTAATTTGGTTATCAACGCCAATTCCGTTGTGGGTTACAACAACAAACTTCAACGAGCTACTAAGGATATGAAGTTTGGAGCGAATGACGTGAACTCTGACATGACCAAGGGCATTCCTCACTTCGTAGAGAAGCCAAAAAAGTCACACGAAACGAAGCTACCCGTAGTTAAGAAACCATCAAAGCATATTCCCGCGTTACCAACCATACCTGAGGAATATGACCATAACCTACTAAAGGCCGGCCTAGCTACCGCAAGCATTGGTCTGAGTTATTATATATGGCGATGAACAACCCCTACGTAGCTGGAGTAGATTGTGTCTATACGACTTACACAGGCGAGAAAAGATACAACCAGAGCTCTTGGGTGGACGTCACCGGGATGTCCGTGGACTTGAACTACTCAGGAAAGAAGTTAATCCTTTGTAGTATTTGCATTGGCACGAGCAGCCATGCCAACGTGGGCTTTAGGTTTGTAGATGAGAATGGCATACTGCAGCCTATGAGAAATAAGACAAACAACAGGGAGCCTGCGCATTTCTCCGTAGAGCCGCCGATAAATAGCGGCGAGAAATTATCGGTTTGGACTTTTCATATGGTCGCCGATTGCCATGGGAAGGTAAAACTACAGATAAGAGTAGACGATACGGGAAAGGTCACGGTAAATAGCATAGAGGATCAAAGAGACACGGCTTATAACCATATGACCATTAGCACTCTTACAGTSCTTAGCCTGTAACATATATGAACCCACATCAGAAGGAAACTCATTACGTTTACTATTTAGAGGAAAAGAACCATGATGAATCTGCTGATTGGAAAGACGCTGGCATGTGGGTTGAAGTTGGGGGCACTGCATTGATCATTTGCATCATTAATGTTAATACGGGCACTGGTGCGAATGCAGGGTTTAGACTTATTGATGAGAACGACGAGCCCCTGCTTCCTTATCGAACTTCGACGAACGCTAGGAAAGTTACCCATTTTTCAATGGAGCCCTGCACGTTATCAGGCGAAGACTTAACGCCGATTACTTTTCATATGTTAGTCAATTGTAAGTATGCTCGGCTGCAACTCCTTCCTGCTGATGGCAACGTTCGAATAAATGCTGTGGGAACTCCTGCTATAGATGCGGCCTGGAATCATAAGCCCATTAGCACCATGACTGTCCTGCCACTAGTTCCGCATTATCAAGGCGGCGCGAATACTATCTTTACTTATCCCCAGTCGAGGACGCCTCGGATGCCTGACGACGATAAGCCCCCAGTAACATACAAGGACAAGATTAACCCTTCATCTTCTTCAGGAGAACCACCCCGATAGCGACAACCAAGATCCAAATGTTATTCCCCACGAACTTCAACAGTTCTCCGCCGGCCCTAAGTGCCAGACCAAGAACACTACCAAGCAGCCCAGGCAAACCGCCTGCCATTTTTTTCCCAAGTCTGTCAGTCCATTGCCTAATTTCTTTACGCCTGCGCCCGTAGCCTTAAGCGCGGACAAGATTACTCCTACTACGGTGCTAATAGCGACCGCAAATGCAAGAGGAATACCATACTTCATGAGAGCTCTTTTTACCTTTTCCTTGGTGGTAAGCCCCAACTCCGTTTCCAGGTTTTCCTTTTGCGCCTGTAATTCCGCAACTCTTACCTGAAGGGTTTCTACTTCCCTTTGGGCTGCCTCCCTTTCCTCTTCGGGACGGGTTTGGTCATTAATTATTTCTTGTTGCCGCTCTATTTGTCTTTCCAAGTCTTTGATGGCCTGATCTCTTTGCCGGATTTGCTCTTCTTTAGTGTTAATTTCGGCAACCAACTGCCGCCGCTCCTCCAAAGAGCCGGCTATGGTGATATGCAAGTTTTTAGCTTCTTCCTTGCTCATGTCCAGGTCTTGYAGGGCAAGTTCGAAGGCTTTTTGGGCTTGGTCTCTATCGCGTAGGGCTTTGTCTGTTCGTTCTCTCTTTTTTGAGCATCAAGGAGTAGTCGGTTTTGTCTCATGTATTCTGCTTCCCTTTCTTCCAACGTTTCTTGCATCTCCTCGACGCGTTTTTCTAGTGCGACCCTTTCATTCAGGGTTTCCAACCTTTCTAGAGCACTTCGGGTAGCCTCTTTGAAGCCCCTCAGTCTTGCCACGTTAACCTTGACCGAGCCACTATCATCAAAGAGGACTTGTGGTTTGGTCCAACGGTTAGCGTCGGGATATCTCATGTCTCTGACGCTTATGAGGACTTTGTTTCCGCGTTCTGTGAGATTTATGTCGTCGGCCTCGAAGCGGGGATAGCGTATCCGTAGCTCTTGCGTTGCCCACTCTACGGTTTCCCGCGTGGTTGCTTCATGCTCGTTCATGTTTCGAAGTTCCAAGTACTCAGGGACGGGGCTGCCGCGGTTCTTTGATTGCCACATGCGATTCAAGGAGGTCTTGAAGCTTTTCCACCTAYTGCCRTACTTGTTKTCTAGGGCCATGTCKTAGATTAGGGGGTCGGTCTCCGCGCCTTTAGTCCATGCGTCAAAATCTTCATCGTTAATATCGACTTGGCCTTCTTCGGTAAGGGGGTCAAAATCCGTTCCTT